CTCGTACTGATTCTCCTATCTAAGCCTTCCCAGTGCTGGGAATTTAGACATGTGCCCCAGTTCCCCAGCTGGAATGGCATGGCATGCAGTACTGGGGATCAAACCCAGGTCCTTATGCTTGCCAGGCAGGGGCTTAGACTGCCACACTATCTCTCTTAAATTTTATTTTGAAGAGGAAAGAAACAAAAAGGAAAGAAATAAAAGTAAATAACAAAGACAAAAACAAGGCACCATAAGACAAAAGTGGTAAACAATTTCAAAACAATGGTTGTTATATTACATATTGTCAAGTTTGTTGCTTGAACTACATAGGCATGTAAGATTGATCAGATAGTTAAAATTTTAACTCTTCCTTTCCATAAACCTTGATTTTTTTTCTTTTTTAACTAACTTAGTTTAAAGACAGTATAAAAATAATAGGTAAAATGTTAGAAACTATACACTTTTTTTAAAAAGCCAAAAACAAAAAAGATGAAAGGTAACGGTGGTTGTTTTATTGCACATTATTATCTTCAGTGTAGTTGCTCAGATTACAGAGATGATGCTACCTTCTAAAAACTGAAATTAGTAGAGTCATCTTAGGTAGTCTGTGTATGTACTTACATGATTCCCCCCCCTTTTACTTAATCTTTTCTCCTTTTCCTCTTCTCAATCATTTATTCCTTGTGTTCAGTTTCTTTCCCGTTTATTTTATCTGTCGTACCTTTCAGATTTTACTCTTCCAGGTTCTGACACTAGGGAGACAATATATTTACACATAGGTCTGATTTATTTCACTTATGAGGATAGCCTCTAATTACATCCACTTACCTGTAAAAGCCTCAAGTTTGTCTTTGTTTATAGCTAAGTAATATGCCATTTTATAAAAATACCTCATCTTTTGTATCTGTTCTTCAGTTGATGGTTATTTGGATTTTTTCCAAGATTTGCCCATGAGAAATTGTGCTGCTATAAACATGGGTACATGTATATCACTGTGGTATGATGTTTTCAGTTCTTCTGGAAGAATACCCAGAAGGGGAATAATAGCTGGGTTTAATGTCCCCCCCTTTTTTAATGAGTGAAATTTCAGAGCATAGCAGTGTTGAAAACAAAAGAATGATAAATACAGCAGCACATATTTTCACATTGAAAACAGTAAAAGCTACATAACCAAAATCCAAACCTAAACATTAATACATAAAAAAGATCAGAATCAAGAAGCAGATCGGAGGCCAAATGAAGCTCTATCAATGAAAACCTATTTTGAAGAAATATCTAGGGCCAGCCAAATAGCTCAGTGGATTAAAGTGCCTGCAAGCAGGTGCAGGGGCCTGGAGATTGAACTCGTGGCCTGCCATGCAGGCCCCGCCCTCCAGTGCATGCTGAGTGGGCAGTTGAAACTGGGCGTGGTGGCACATACCTGTAATCCCAGCTCTTGGGAGGCTGTAAACAGGTGGATCACTACAAGTCGGATCTAGTAGTGAGACCCTGAACACCCTGTAGACCCTTCCCTAAAATACAAAAGAAAATATCTAGAACATAATACAAAAAGTGATGTTTACCAATAAGATTTCGTACATCCTTCTCTAGAATTAGAAGAGAATTTATCATTTAACAATAGGAATGTGATTTAAACAATTTTTTCTTTAAAATAATTACAGAATTTAAGAACAATGTACACACGTTTATTTTATAGATATATTCCAAAACTAAGATGTATAAAATACCTTTTCTTTTTTACCATATGATTTCTCTAATTTCCTCACATTCAAATTGCTAAGGACTTTGACAGCTTCTACTCTGAGTTTTGTTTTTTGTTTTTTTTTTCTGGCAGAGCCAAAGATGGAACTTATGCCCTTGCGTTTGCCAGGCAAGCACTTGTTCTACTGAGCCATCTCCCTGCCCCCCCCCCTTTTTCTGAATTCTAGTCTTGCAGAAAATTTATTTTTAAGTCAATAAGCCATAAAGCAAGGATGAAGCATTACTTATGATTCATGAAAACAGTTGTGTTCCTGAGGCACAAATCATAGAACTATTGAAATTAGTTGGACAGAACATGGAAGATAAACCAATCAGTTGATAGATGAAGTCTTGTACAGCATATTGTTAGATTTTGCTTCCTAATCCACTCTGCCAGTCTTTTTCTTTTAATTGGTGAATTGAGTCCGTTTACATTGATGGTTATAATTGAGATGTAGTGACTTATGTTTGACATGTTATTTACCTGCTGTTGTATATCTTTTTCTCCTGTGCTTGTTTGCCCTACTTGGTGGGTTCTTCTTGTTCTCATTCATGTAGTTGTGGTCATTTTGATCCCTCTCTAGAATATCTTTTAGTAGTCTGTTTAGGATTGGCTTTGTTGTCATGAAATTCTTTAGTTCTTTGTCATGGAAGTATTTCACTTCTCCATTAAACTCGAAAGAGAGTTTTGTCGGGTATATCAGTCTGGGTTGGAATTTGTTTTCTTGCAAGACTTGTAGTAGTTTGTTCCGTAGTCTTCTTGACTTAATGGTTCGTAAAGAGAAATCTGCCATTATTCTGATAGGTTTTCCTTTAAATGCGATCTGGTTCTTTGCTCTAGCGGCTTTAGTGTACTGTTCCTGTGCTGAATTTCTGGGATATTGATTATTATATGTGTGGATGTCTTTTTAATTGGGTTGATATTTGGAGTTCTTTATGTTTCGGTTACCTGAATTGTTTCCCCATATTTGGGGAGTTTTCTGCTATTCTGCCCATATTCTTTTTATGTCATTTGTATGGACTCCTTTTTCATTGATGCCTGTTAGTTTTATGTTGTTCGTCCTTGCATTGCCTTGCAGATGTTGAATTATTTTTTCCTGCATTCTGGTTGTTTTTAAGAGATCTTTTCTTTTTACTAGCTGCAATGCTGTCTTCAAGGTCTAAAAGTATATTTTTACTTTCATTCAAATGGTTTTGCCAGCTTGTGATTAAGGTTTTGATTTCCTGTATATTTCCTTGAATCTGCTTCATGCTTTCTATTTCTTGCCTAAATTGTTCAAAGATTCCATTATTTTTCTATTCTCCATTTTTTTATCCCTGTCTTCTTTAGAAGCACTTAATAATTACTTCATTATAGCTAGATTTCCTCTGTACCTTTCTGCAGTTGTTTCTTTACTTAAACACTTATTTCAGAGATTTCAGTTGTGTGATTTCCAATTTCTTTTATGCTATTGTCTCTTGCATTTGTTCTGGGTGGGCTCAGAGTGTGAGAATGTATTTTGCTCCTCCTTTTTGTCATTTTGTATAACACTGTCTTCTGACCTTTGGTGTAGAGCTTTGGTGGAGTTATTATCTTGACACCAGGTCCGGATACACCAAGTTCAAACTCGTCCAGGTAGGTTTGGCTTGGATCTGGCTGCTGTGCTGCACTTAGTCCTGCTGCAGCCCTTGGAAGTAAACCTGCTGTGCCACTCTGGCAAGATGTTCTGCTCCTGCATCAGCTGGTTGGGTCTTGCCTCTAGCCTCTTTGCAGGGAGTTCTGCCACAGGGTTCCACATCGGGCCTGTCTGATGGATGAAGTTTTACACACGCACGCACGCACGCACACACACGCACACACACACACACACACACACACACACACACACACACACCCCTGGCCTGGGCGCTGGCTGGAGTGAGGATCTGGAGGGTCACTGGCTGGAATGAGGATCCGGCGGGCCCCAGGCAGTCCCACACATATGCCTGGAGCTGGCTGGAATTGAATGGGACTTCTAATCGTTTTTTGAGGAATCTCCACACTGATTACCATAGAAGTTGTACCAGTCTATGCTCCCACCAACAATGGAGAAGGGTTCCTTTTTCTCCACAGCCATGTCAGCATTTGTTATTGGTTGATTTCTTTATGATAGCCATTTTTTATGGAGTGAGATGGAATCTCAAATGTTTTATTTTTTTTTTTATTTATTTATGTGTGTGTGTGTGTGTGTGTGTGTGTGTGTGTGTGACCAGCTTAGCCCACCAGGGGGCGCGGCTGCCTGGCATGTGGTGCTGGGGGATTGAACCGTGGTCCCTGTGCTTTGCTGCGCTTGTTCTAAGTAGGTGCTTTAGACCACTGAGCCATCTCACCAGCCCCCAGATGCCTATTTTTGGATTGGGTCTAAGTTCTTTATCCTACATAGAAGTCCTTTGAGTGACTATTGGTCAAGATTTTTTCCCAATTGGGAATGGGGATATTGTCTTTTCACTCATTTGGTGATTACTTTTGATGTGCAGAAACTTCTTAATGAGATGAGATCCCAGTTGTTGGTTCTGTAAAAAAGTATTTCCCATGCAGTTTGGATTTTGTTCATGAACTCTCTGCTTGTCCCTATGTTGAAGTGTCAAGTTTAAAAAACTGCCAGGAAACCTGACCTGAAATAACATGAGGCTATATATAGTCTTTATTTTTCACTTTTCATATTTCCCTCAGCAAAGAAAATGTAAAGTACAGCGGTGCCCCAGACTTGTTGGGAGGGTTTTGTAACATGAGGTATATGCCGTGTTACCTCCAGAGAAATTTGAAAAATTCTAAGTAAGGTTTTTTGAATAAGGAAGGGATTGTGGGTATGTATTGACAGACTGGTCTGAAAGAATTTTTTTTTTTCTTCTGCCTTTCTCTGCCTGCCTTCATTAACACTGGGCTATGCTACATTATTAATACATGACAATTACCAGTGATTTTAGGTATCATTAGCCTTCAAGAGTGTAGTAGTAGAACTTAGATTTACAGTGTAGTGTAGCTTTCAATTCTGGAAGAGCAAAGATTTTACCTTAAATGACCCAAAGTCTCACTCTGCCTTTGCACCTGTTTTGGTTACTTCCCTAGTTAACTTGCTGGAAATTTGACCATCTGTATCAAGTTAGCAGTTCATGAAATAGTATAGTTTGTCAGGAAGGTACAGTTTGATCTTCTCTTTGACATACTGGATAACATTTTGTTAGGGATTTTTTTTTTTTTTTTTTTAGCAGAGAGAACATTCATAAAATCGTTGAGGAGGGTGGCATAGTGGAAGCCTTCAGGAGTGCAGAGCTCGCCACTTGTCCAGGGGACCGCGATTCGGGATGTATTTCACCCCGCAGCCATCAAGGATGAGGCACTTCTTGGCCACCATGTCTTCAAATTCATCTGTATTGTACTTGTTGAAGCCCCACTTTTTGGAGATGTGGATCTTCTGATGGTCAGGGAACTTAAACTTGGCCTTGCTTAGGGCCTCAATCACATGCTCCTTGTTCTGCAGCTTGGTGCGGATAAACATGATGACCTGTCCAGTGTGAACCCTTGCCACCATGCCCTGGGGCTTCCCAAAGGCACCCTGCATGCCATTCTGGAGCCTGGTTTGGGGGTGGTAAGGTCAGATATACAACACCCAGAAGGAGGAGTGTCTCCAAGGTCCCTTAGGGCAGCGTATACAAGCAACAGGCTACATACACTACTGAGGAGGTTACTGTGTGCAGCCACTGCACGCTGGGCACCCACCAGCAGGGAACCCAGTCAGCCTAACTGACTGCAGCTTAGGGAAAATGTTAGTTCCAGTGGTGGAACTAATACTGTAAGTCATAGATCAAAATCATATTTTGATTATAGAAACCAAGGGTCATTTAATAGAAAGAGGTGTGGGGGTTTTTTGTTTGTTTTTTTCTGTGGTACCACAGATTGTACTCAGGACCTTGCGCTTGCCAGACAAGCGCTTATTCTACTAAGCTATCTCCCCCGCCCAAAGAAGTAATTTTTATAGGCAGTACTGGTAGCATTCTGTTAGAAAAAACCAAAACAGTTTTCTTGATTTTCAATTCGTTTGCTATGGGTTTTGCAATGTGACTAAGAAGTAGGCTTTTTTTTTTTTCTTTTTCGTTTTGTGTGGTTAGCTACTTGTACCAGTGTTACTTGTTGAAATAAGCCAGGCTTGGATGCATATGGTGGTGTACACCTGTAATCCTAGCACTGAGGAAGGTGAGGCAGGAGGATTGCTGTGAGTTCTAGCACAGCCTGGGCTACATAAGGCATTCAAGGCTAACCTGTACTACAGAGTGAGACTGTCTTAAAAAAGCCAGTCTTCCTAATTTATAATGCCATATTGATCTTTATCACATCTTATTTCTTGTATGTAATTGGGTTTATTGGAGGTTTCTAATACATTTTAATTTTTGATAAGAATATTGGGAAAGGGGGCTGGTGGGATGGCTCGGTGGTCTGAAGTGCCTGCTTGGAGCAGGCTTGGCGAAGCGCGGGACAGCGGTTCAATCCCCAAGCACCACATGCCAGCCAGCCCCGCCCCCTGGTGGGCTGAGCTGGCCACACACACAAATAAATAAATAAAAACATTAAAAAAAAAAAAAAAACTGGGAAAAATTTGACCTCCCACATCAAGTATCCTGGCAACTTTTGTGCATTCTTCCAGATAAACCCTCTGTATATAGGCGTTAGGTTTGATTTGTATTAAATTACATATTTTTAGAGAACATTTGTATTTATGTAATACAGTGTTTTTTGTATAGGGACATATACGTTTGTATAGTCATGTTTTTTATTTTTTTGGCAGAATTGGGAATTGAACTCAGGCCCTTGAGCTTGCCTAGCAAGTGCTTATTTAACTGAGCCATCTCCCTGGCCCTTGTTTAATAACGTATAGTTTTATAAAGGGTCCTAAGAAGGACTCATTCTGTGGAGTGTCATTTTAGTTTATTTCTTTTTCTTTTTTTAAACTGGGGGTTGAGCCCAGAGCTTTCACACTGAGCTACCTCCCCAACTCCCAGCCATTTTTTCTTTTGAGACAGAATCTTGGACCAGGAAGATAGCTCAATAGAATAAGTGCTTTTGCCTGACAAGCATAAGGGCCGGAGTTCAATCCCTGGTTCTGCCAAAAAAAACGCAGAGACAGAGTCTTGCTAAGTCATAGAGTGTTCTAGACTAGGCTCAAACATCTAATATTCCTCTGTCAACCTCACAGAGTGCTGGGATTATAGGTGTGCACCACCACACCCAGCTTTCAGAAAGATAAATTATGTGTACTTCTCTTGAAAGAAAGATTAAATTATACATGTAAAAATACTAGAGCCCACCAAATAGCTCAGCAGAAAATACTATAGTGTGGGCCTACAGGTGTAGCTCAGTAGTAGAAAGAAGGCTTACCACGCTTGAGGCCCCGGGTTTGTGTTCGCTGTCTTTAACACACAGAAATACACACAATACACATATTTATACTTCAATTTACTGTGTAATTTAAATTAAATATGCAGCCTTTGTAGATGTATTTAAAGTATAGCTAAAGGAAAATACAAAAGCCCAAAACACCTAAAGAATGACATTCACTGCAAGAGAAATTTTTTGTTTTGCTTTGCTTTTGCTTTTGCTTTATAGTCATGTCTTGTACTAAGCAAATAACTAGGAAATATGGTTTTGATCATTTGAATTCTTTGAGAAATATATGTTTATTCATGTGTTCTGTATTTCCTGGGATATTTATATTTTCTATAGAAGGCAAAAGATACAAGTGGGTTTTTTTTCCCACTTTTTTTTATTTTAAATATAGTAGACTTCAAAATACTTTTCGTGTTTCAATTTAATGGTTTTGTCAAGTTTAAGTTAAATATAATTTATATTTGAGGGTGCCATTTTAAACTTTTATTCTAAAAGTGTGCTGGCCTAGATGTACTGTAACCGAACTTCTTTCTGTTTAGTTCTCCCAGAGATCCTCGGAACGTAGGATGTGGCCACAAATCTACCTCCTGTATTTCTGTCTTTTACTCATGAGTTGCATAATTGGAAATGTGAGCATGATGTCTGCAGACTGTGTTGAAAAACTCTGAAGAACCTAATTAACGCAGGATGACCTAGTGGTGATTTTAAGCTTATAACAGGATATTCAGTAGTGGATTTGTTGGTCTTGGTTCTGAATGCTGCAGATAACAACAGCAAGCCAACTCTCTCCTTCATTTGTGAAATATTCACTAGACCTTCCATCAAGACTGACTTTTCTAATCTGCTTCGGGAGATATTAATGGAATAGAGTCTTGTCCACTCAAGATGAGAGGCAGATCAATACTGAATATGCTGTGTCCTTGTTGGAACAGTTGAAACTGTTTTATGAACAGCAGTTGTTTACTGACATAGTTTTAATCGTTGAGGGCACCGAATTCCCTTGTCATAAGATGGTTCTTGCAACATGTAGCTCTTACTTCAGGTAAGTACTTTTAATTTTGATTAGTTTGTATTAACATTTTAATAGTTCATTTAGGTGTCACTTAAATTTTTTAAAAAATTAGGTCTCGATGTCTTAAGTTGAGATGATGTGTTTGTCAGAATCATTTTCTTACATGTGTAAGTAAAGGACAGATAGAAGTTTTTACAAAGATAAATATAAAGTTGTTCAAGTTTTAGTGTTAGGAGGCATAAAGATTCAGAATGCTTTTTTTTGTGAAAGAAAAATGAATGAGATAATTTACTTGAATTGAAAATATGTTTAGAAAACTAATCTTTGTTTATACGCTTAAGCTGTATGATGGCCTTAAATTTTAGAACATAATTGGTGCTCTTTAGACCTATCAAAATTCTTTCACAAAAATCTATTTTTCTTAGTTAGTGATACACTTTAACACAGCTTTAAATGTTTAATAGTTAATAACATCTTTTTTGTTTGCTGTGCCTCAGAATTTAAAAAGTTGTTACGCTAATTACAAATAAATAAGACTTACAGTTTTGTGATCTTTTGGTTAAGTTTCATCAGAAAAGTAGAAGGAAATAGCTGTATTTATTCTCTGCTGTAAAATTGACTTTTGCTATTGGAAAAAAACAGGTAAATAAAAATGAATGTACTCTTGGTATGCATATTAGCAGCCATAAGTGGAGATTGGCAGTGAGTTCATTTCTACAGTTGTTCAGTGGCAGCTATTGATAGGAAAGAGTAAACTGATCTTGCAAGGCTGATAATACATGAAGTTATTTAAACTTTACATTCCATACACAGACTATGATAATTATAGAAGCTAAAGCTTAATCACTAATTGCCTTCACTATGCCCATAATTTTTCTTCCAGTTTAAACTTGTTTTTTTTCTGCAATTTCAGATACTAATTTTGTGTTACAAAGCCTAATTTTTTTTTAATATACAATGGTTGTAAAATCTAGTCATCAGAATCCTCTTGCTTGCTTTATATATGGAAGTTATTGAATTTCAAAAATCAAAATTTCTGATTCAGTAGATTGGAGTTAGAGAATCAGAATCTATATATTAAAGAACTTCTTGGGCAGGGGAGATAACTTGGTGGTCTAAGTGCTTGTCTGGTAAGCTCAAGGGACCTGGATTTGATCCTCAGTACTACATGCTGTTCCAGCCCTGGAAGCCTGGACAGCCCAGTTATGTCAAACCGGCCACCAAAACTAGCATGCTAGGGCGCACACCTGTAGTCATCCCAGTGCTGGGGAGGCTGAAGCAGGAGGATCACCATGAGATCCTGTACCAAATTAAAAACAAAAAACCAAAGCAGAACCTCTCCCCCCTTCCTTCCTCCCTCCCTCCCTCCCTTCCTTCCTTCCTTCCTTCCTTCCTTCCTTCCTTAGTATAGGGTCTACGGGGTCTCACTACATACATCAGACTTGCAGTGATTCTCCTGTTTTCAGCCTCCCAAGTGCTGGGATTACAGGTGCATGCCACCATGCCCAGTCTTCATCTACGGCCCAGCATGCTCTGGGGGCAAAGCCGACATGGCACGTCGGGGATCGAACCCTAGCTACTGTGCTCTGCCTAAGCAGGCATTTTAGTTCATTGAACTATCTGGCTGGCTCTTAGAATGTTAACAGCTATCCCTGTTGTTCATTTTTTTCCAGTTTATTTCTTTTGACACCAAATCTGTTCTTTTTCATATAATTTACTTGTCTTTAACTTGTAATCCACAACATTAATGCTTAATCTCCAATGTTCCTCTAATATTACTTAATTGATTATATTGTTTTCCATTTTATACAATGGCCCGTATGTCAAATATATCTTTTTTCTTTTTTTTTTTTTTTTGGTGGAACTGAGGATTGAACTCAGGCCCTTGTGCTTAGCAGGCAAGCACTTATTCTACTGAGCTATCTCCCCAGTCCCCAAATATATCAAAGATTTAACTTTTTTCTTCAAATTAGCTAACTTTCCTTCTTAGCTGTACAATTTTTTCTCTTTATTTTTTGAGGTGCTTTATTGAAGTAAGGAAGTAACTTTTTTTGTCTTTTTGAGTCAGGGTCTCACTGTGCAGTTCAGGGTGACCTTGAGCTCACTGTGTAGCCCAGGCTGGTCTCAATTTTGCAGCCATCCTGCTTCAACCTCCTGAGTGCTGGAATTACAGGAGTGTATCACCTTTGGCTCTGCCTTGTCTGCTGTATGCTCTGTCCCAATCCTCCTTTTCAGAACATAGGTTTGTTTTCTAGGCCCTTTGTAATTGTTTTTTTGTTCATTTCTGGTACCTTCCCTTATTTTTTTAACCCTCATTTAGATGATTGCTGTAGACTCATAGCCAGTTTTGTTCTCTGTAGCTTTTGGGGCTTGAGCTCTGTTGGTATATTCATCCTGTAGTACTGTTTATCATGCTAGATCTATGCTCAAAACCTTTCAGTCTTATTTTGGATACTGAGGATTGAGTCTGGGGGCATTGCACATGCTAGACATAAGCAACAAGCTCAGTTCTTGTCTCTAAATGCTGCCTGTGACAGGACTGCTAATTAACTTTACATTTCATTTTCTAGTGTCCTGCATGAACTTTATATTTATATGTGCCCCTTAAGCAGTGATGTTTTATCCTGTTGTTTGTTTGTTTTTGTTTTTTCCATTTTGAAAACAGGCTGGCCAGATAGCTCAGCAGACTGAAGCGCCTGCTTAGGCAGAGTGCAGCATCCGGGGTTCCATCCCCGGTGTACTGTTCTAGCCCCACTGCCAGGG